GCTATCTGAAAGCGCCCCGCAACCTGTCTCTTATACACATCTAGATGTGTATAAAAGGAGGGATCTACATGGGTCCCACAAAAAAAAAAAAAAAAAAAAAGCTGTACATGGGGGGTTTGCCTTGCAGGGGAATCTCTGCGATAAGCGGCTCCCAAGGACAGGAACGAGAGATTACACTATCTACTTCTTCCTTTTTTTTTTTTTTTTTTTTTAGGGGGCGGCGGGGGGAGGGATCTACATGGGGGGTTTGCCTTGCAGGGGAATCTCTGCGACCTTGTGCCAGTTCGTCAGTGAGAGATCAACTCCCTCCGTGCTGTAGAGGCATAGGCTCGTGACGGGGAACTCCGTGGTCACCACCAGGTCGTCCCACTCCGTGACAATGCGCCTAACTGCTGCTTCTCTGTCTTCTTCAGAAAGAGAACCATAGATCAAGCTCAAGTGAGGCATGTACGCCTCAGCTGCTTGCGCTTCTTCCTGCCGCTGCTGCTGATCCAACAAGCCAAACCAGCGCCGGGTTTGGAGATGTGTCTTCACTATCTCTGGCGACTTCGCAATGAGCAGGTAGACGCACTGGAAAAACGAAGTCCCCGCTGCGACATCCACTGCACGGCAATTGAAAGGAGCCAAGCCCGCGCACAGTTCCTTGAAAGCGGCCACCACATCCTCTTCAGACTTTGCGCGAATTCCGCCACTGATTGTGACATGAGGCTCAAAGACTGGAGTTCCATACGTCTGCGCCAAGCGGGAGATGACACCGCCAAGCCGCTTTGGCAACGGGCTGTCAGGCGGAGGCACTGCCCACACCGAAAACGACAGGAGATCGCTCTGCACGGCGGCGGCGCAGGATGTGTGGTCTTCGACACCAGCCATTGGTTAAGAGGGAAGAGGAGAGGTCTGGAAAGAGACGAAGCTGGAGTGACCGGTAGCAAAGAGGTCTGGCAAGAGAGACAGGTGTAGAGGAACAGTAGCTAGGTCAATTACAGACAGACATTCAGATGATAGCCATGGACTAGCAGACGGGGTACAGCTCACCCTTTAAGACGGCAAGGTGTGAAAGAGATGAAGCAGCAGGTGTTCGCAGAGGACGATAGAACACTTATAGAGATTCACTTCTGCACAACGGGACTTTTCTGAGATGTCAGAGAGACTAGGACGGGTTTCGCGGACGGCGACTCCACAGACGCCGGCAGAGAGCATGAGGACAAAGGACAATAATGGCGTCGATGAGGAGTTGGAGGTCAATAGCGCTCTCTCTCTCTCTCTCTCTCTCTCTCTCTCTCTCTCTCTCTCTCACACACACACACACACACACACACACGTACACACACACACACACACAAAGACGAAGAAGATGGAAGACCGCTCGCGTTCTCTCTCCTTCAATTTGTGCGCGAGCGATGCGGAGCAACCAGGCCCGCTTAAACTATCGGGCACTCAAATTTGAATTTTCGACACTGATGGAAGATGTAAGCTGGCCTTCAATTTTTCAAAACTTATGGAAGAAAGAAGTGGGCGCTCATCGCACACGGCGCACGTGGCTGCTCTCACCACGTTAACTGGCGCGCTGTGAACAAACATGTAGAAAACGGGCTGTGCACCCTGCCCCTCGATCCACCCCATCTGATGGCCCATGCACATTTTCACGCCGGGTTTCGGCGCGCACTGGACCATGGATGTCACCCCGCGGCATATACTCAGGATATTCGCAGCCATTAGGCAGGTAGGACATACACGTACTCAGGATATTCGCAGCCATTAGGCAGGTAGGGCACTGTCTCTTATACACATCTAGATGTGTATAAGAGACAGGTTCCGGACCGGTGCGCCCGACAGCATCTCGTGGAGGCTCTCGCCAGATTTAAACACACGAGGTTTCCCCGGTGCTATGGGGCTATCGATTGCACGCATTTGTACATCAACAAGTCGTTCGGAGAGCCGGATCGTCCGTATTGTGACGGGCACAAGTGATTCTCCATCGTTGACCAGACAGTTGTAGGTGCAGATCTATGGTTCCAGGATATCTATGTCGGCTGGCCAGGAAGCGTGCACGACGCTAGGGTCCTGCTGAACTCATCGCTATGGCAGAGGACAGAAGCCTGGCTGGTGTTCAGATCGGATCCTTTCATCTTGGCGATGGGGGTCGAGACTCTCGGGTACCTGCTTGGGGACAATAGATACACGATGTTACCATCGCTAGTGGTGCCCTATGGCTGTCCGCAGGAGGAAGGGAGCAATGAGAAACTGTTCAATGACAATCAAAAAGCTCACAGGGGGTGTGTTGAGAGGGCTTTTGGTCGGCTCAAAAGCATGTGGGGGCTCTTCCTGCGAACTCACAAGCCGCATATAGCATCCCTGACAGTCCAGTTTTGGTCGGTGTGTGTGATACACAACCTCCTAATAGTGTTGGAGTTCAGATGGACCCTGCGCTGAATGCACGAGATGAGGACAACCCTGACAATGATGATGATGAGGATGCATAGCGGGGGCGAGGGCGCCAGGGCTGCTGGTCGACACGTGTATGATGGTCTCCAGACTCTCCATGCACATGTTGCATGGCATGAGAGGCAATCATTGCAAAACCGGGTCTCGTGGGTGGGCCTGGGCAATCAGATTTAGATGTATGTGTGTGTGTGTGTGTGTGTGAGAGAGAGAGAGAGAGGGAGTCGAGTCTGGGACATCACTTGTTCCATGCCTAGGTACTCTATGCTAGATGTCGTTTTGTGTATAATTATTCCCTCTCCCCTCTGCAGATTTGCTGATCCATTGAGCGGTCATCAGTCACGAATGTGGTGGGTCTCCGACAAGACTTGGGCGGATAGTGTTCAAAAAAAATAAAATAAAATAATTCCCAAACACTAATCATATGAGTAACACTAATATAAGTTGTTGACACCAGGGTTGCCACGCCGAACGTACAGAGGCCCATAAGCTGACCCCCGAACGTTCGGGTGTTCAGGTTCCCGTACGGGGCCCGAACCCGAAAGGGGTTTGAACCCCGCAAACATTATTTTGACACCTAAATATTATTATTATTTTCTGATATTTTTTTTTGTGAGTTCTTTGTAACGTAAGGTATCTTCCTCTTAATTTTGAAGGCATTAAACCACTAGTACCTTTGTCGGTTCGAAAATACTCGGCCTCCGACCTTTCAGGAGGCCGAAACGAAACAACGACCGCCGATCGGATTTATCAACGGCGGGCTCGACCTCNGGCTGTGACAAACTGTTTCGTCGGAGTTTCACCGACTCATTAGGAGGCTGAACCCTCAACAGTCTGTAGAATCCCCTCACTGATTACACTGTAAGTGATAATCCACCTTAACCAAAATCAAAGTAGACTATACTCCGGTTCGTTTTTTTGTCGCATAGCGCAGTTTCTTTTCTAGGAATGTTTTTGGCAGTTACAGGGGTTTAGAGGGCGCCGACCAGTAGGCCGAGCGGTCGTCTCAGAGCTTAGGGGGTACTCACACAGCGGTGGCAGTCTAGCAAAATCTGCTGAATTTTCGTTCCCATGTTTGCTGAAATCATACCCCGCCCGGTGGCACACGGGTTCCAAATCAGGGCATACTCACACGGCGACCCCAAATCCGCAAAATATGCGGATTTGGGAAGGGCGGATTTGAGGTTTTGGGCATGGTTCACGTCACACTGCTGTACCTTTTCAGATGGGACAAGGTCGCGGCCGTCTGGAGAAATGGGGATTTGGTACTTGGCTGGTCACACGTGGAGGACATCCACAAATTGTGCAAGAACTTTCGTGAACGAATTTTTGCCAATTTTTGAAGAAAATGCAAAAAAAAAAAAGGGCATTTGCGGTCACCTCCAGAGGTGACCGCAAAATCCCTTGCCCCGCAAATGGGTACTGGAATAGTACATTTGCGAATTTGGTAGATCGGTGTGACCGGCCTTTTCCCTTTTTTTTTGGGATTTTGGGATCATAGGTCCCCGTACGAGGGCATACTCACACGGGGACCTATAATCCCAAAATCCCCAAAACAGATCTACCAAATTCACAAATGTACTATTCCGGTGCCCATTTGTCAGCGGACTGGGAAGCCGCAGGGCAAGGGATTTTGCAGTCACCTCTGGAGGTGACCCCAAATTCCCTTCTTTTTTTTTTTCATTTTCTTCAGAAATTGGCAAAATTTCGTTCACAAAAGTTCTTGCACGATTGGTGGATGGCGCCGTGTGACCAGCCAAGTACCAAATCCCCATTTCTCCAGACGGTCACGACCTTGTCCCATCTGAAAAGGTACGGCAGTGTGATGTCAACTATGCCCAAAACCTCAAATCCGCCCTCAAATCCGCCCTTCCCAATCCGCATATTTTGCGGATTTGGGGTCGCGTGAGTATGCCCTCACACGAGGACCAAAAGTCTCCAGTGTGACCCGAAAAATGACTCAAATTTTGGGATTTTGGGTCTTTTGTTCCTCATGTGAGGGCACGCTCACACTAGGTACCCAAATTCTCAAAAAAAGGGAAAATGGGAACGGCCGTTTTGAGGAAATGCGGCCCTGGCCGGTCACACTGTGTTCCCAACACGCTAACGACAAGGTCGCTACATCGCTCTCTGCAAGGTGCTTGTGGAGGGCGCCGGTCACACTGTGGATACCTCAAATGGGAAATCCAATTATTCGTTTTTTATAATCTGTTTTTTCCTTCTTTTTTTCCGGGTCCAACAGGTGTCCATATGAACCTCTCTGCTGGTGCTCCGTGCGTCTGACCGCTCCGCGCGTGCGCCCATTTCCCCAAATCTCCTTTTCGTCAATTGATAGGCCGCTAATATCGTGGGTTTCCATTTTTTCTCCAATTTTGCACGGTAATTCGGAAAAAGATTGAGAATTTGCGGTAACCTCCAGAGGTCACCACAAATTTCCTCCCCCAGCGGCTTCGCAGGCCGCTGACAAATGGTCACCCCTTTTGAGAATTTGGGCAGATGTTCACCATGTGTGACTGTCCGGGAACCCTTTTTTTGGGGGGAAATGGGGATTTGGTACCTAGTGTGAGTATGCCCTGAGTATGCCCTCAGAAAGGACACGAGCTGGACTCTCTGGCAATTGCAAAATTGGTGCCTTGCATGGTCACAAGCGCGGAAAGTTTCTTTTACGAATTCCCAAATGGCGAAAGAGAATTTGCCACGGCTGAAAGAGAATTTGCCACCACATCTCGAGGTGGTAGCAAAATGCCCATCCCCGCGGCCCCCCAGGCTGCTGACAAATGCTACCCCGTTTGCAACTGTGGTGGTAGGAAAACCCTAGTGTGACTCTAACCTTAGAGGCTCAGCGACCGGTGATGGGTTGGGGAGGTCGTTTGTGTAACAACGTTGGTCAGCGTCCTGGGAAGGTCGTTCGTTGGTCAGCGTCCGTCTTGTGTGTCAGTTTCCTTTTTCGGGAAAGGGGGGGGGATTTTTTTTCTTTTTTTTTTAAATGGCTCCATTCTATTCGTGGGGAGCAGCACGTGTTGGGAACCGGGCCCAATGTCCCTTATAATAAACTTTTGAGGCCGGGGTCCTCACAGTCTACCTGGGTGGAAGTGTCTTAGGACAATCCAGAAAGCACAGTGTCAGCTGAAGTAAGAGGAGGGAACCTGAAGGGTGGATGCCATGTGAGAGGACTATGCTAACAAGTGGAGATTAGTAGTCACTGTCCTGAATAACCCAGGGGAGAAGCAGCAGACCCTCTCAGCAGAACGCTGTCTGATAGGAAGAGTCGAGATCTAGGTCTGGGGGGGGCTATCCCACAGGAGTTCAGTATAAAAGATTCTGTCTCTGTCTGTCAAGTCGGCCCATTTAGATGGCCATGACCATTTCTTACGGAAAAGGTGCCTGGCTAGTTCCCTAGACTCGGACTGACGTTTGAATTTAATACAATCAGCCATAATGTCCAATCTGACAGAATGCTTAAACTGTGGTATCAGAGAGCGAAGAGAGGATTCAGAGTTGAGGAAGCGTCTATCTCTTCTAGCCAACCATAGGATCCAGAACACCCTGGCCCTGAAGATTTGAGCTATCGTTCCTATTTGATGACTATTTATGTGTGGACTTAGTCTCCCTGTGATGACGAAGTCTTGGCTCCATAGCCCAATATAGTTGTAAGCACCCGCCCACCAGGAGTTCATTGTGTCCCAGAAACCTCTTGCGATGACACATTCCCACCATAGGTGTAACCAGTCTTCCAGGCATGGATGGGGACATACATCGCAGCGGGTCGAGATATCCATTCCTTTTTTTTTTTTTTTTTTTTTTTGGAGAAAGGCCCTTGCGATATCCCTCTATCCTGGCGGTGGTAATTTCTCAGCGCACCACAAGGCAGTTGGGATGCAGGAATGGAGGTGCATCCATTGGAGGCCTCCGACCTTTGTCTCACAGTAGAATGGGTGAGATGGGTAAAG